TCAGCATCATCATCATCACCACGATCTGTGTGGTGCTAAGCGCGCGAGCCAACCCCGCGTTGGGGATCAGATTTCAGCACCCGGCGGACGCCGTCTTGTCCGCGGAGAATGTGAGATGCTCAGTTCAGCTCCTAAAGACGCTCAAGCAAAACGCGGAACAAACCGGCAACAGTTCGCAGAGCCGTTTGACGCTGGGAAGATGGAGGGCCGTTGCCAGAAACGTCGGCGACTATGTTTTACATTGAATGGCGCGCTGTTATTTGGCGAATGTGTTGAGTCTCGCTCTGTAGTCGGTGCATTGAGCTTTGTGGGAGACGCGCGGAACGGACACGTTTGTTCCTCATACCTGCCAACCCCCATTCACTGCCCTACCTTATCACGGACCAATTCACACCTTATTAGTCACCCCGTGCCCTTATAAATCTCAACGTTCATCCTACGAAGTCCCATCACAAAGCGAGAAACACAAATATGTGTGTTTTTTTGCCTGAATTGAAACGGCCCTATGGACCTGAAATCTGAATTCCCCTGCACAAGAAGAATCCGGGGTGATCCGCCTGGCTTGACCGCTGTAGCTCCTCCTCGACGGGGGAGAGAGAGGCGGGGGGGGCGTCCAGACCCGGGCCCCCCACCCCATGGCACGGGGCGCGGTGTCCCGCGAGGGCCCTGCAGGGGGCGCATCGCCACGCGGCACTCCTCGCGTAGCGGGCTGGGAGCTGGTGGGAGGGGGGGGCGCAGCGGGGCACCCCCCCCCCCTTCCACCATATAGAGACGCACCCCCACCCACCCACCCCACCACACCCCACCCCCCGTAAGAAGGCGGGTCCCCTGCATGGAGGCGGGGCGCTTATAAAGGGCCGGGCGCGCCTGCGTGGCCGCGCTCCGGCACAGCGCTCGAGTCGGCGTTGGCGGCGGCGTTGTTCGGGAGCGCTCTGCGCTCTGCGCGCTCCTCGGTGCCTTCCCCCGCCGCTATCGCCCCGGTAACCCGCGCGCTCCCATCGCCATCCGATTAGCCCCGCCAGCCGCGACCAAGTGGCAAACCCGACAGGGAGAGAGAGGGGAGAGAGAGGAGAGAGGGCGCCGCCTTGCACCCGTGCGCAGCGGCCCGCGGTGGCGAACCGAGCAGCAGCGGCGGCGGTGGTGATGTAGGAGCCGCTGCAGAGAGCAAGAGCGGCGGCGGCGGCGGCGGCGGTGGTGGTGGCGTGCGGCTCACGGAGCGCGACTCGCGTGCGGCAGCGGGAGCCGCGGGCGAGGAGGAGGAGGAGGCGAGGGAGGGAGGGAGCCCCGCAGCGATCTCCACCGGAATAAAAGGCTACGCTCTCGTGTTTCCTTATCAATCGGGTAAGTTAAGATGCGCCACTCCAGCCGGCTCTGGCGGGCCTCCAGCTCGGTTTCCAATGAGCTCAGCTTTTAGACGTTAATGGAAAGGAGCTTTGTAAGGGGGAAGGCGGGAGCGGGCGGGGCGAGGCACTAATGGTAATGGAAAGTGCCTCCTCGGCCGAGGCGGCTCCGCGATAAGACTCGCAGCAATCCCATTTAATTTCTCGCCAGGGTAATGTAATAGGAGGATCAGTAAATACATTTCCCCGTGTCCCGAAGCCGCTCTCTTCCCCCGGGGGCTCTTTTCCATTTCAGCATTTTTAATCCGAGCATCTGCAACACAATCCAGGCAATTACGCGGCGCGGCGCGCTCCGACCTGAAACTTGATGAGTTACTCTCGGCTCCCCCACCCCAGGGGACGAGGGCGAGGGAGGAGAGAGAGGGGGGAGAGCCTTACCCAGGCAGCCGCGTTCCCTTGATTCTTTATTAACTTAACAAGCCGGACAAGTGCTCGCCTTTTCAGGACCCCCCCCCCCGACCATGTCGTTATCTGCAGGCTCCGCTAATGGGGGGGGGGGGGGGAGGACGCCTCTAATGGCACTTTTCAAAGCGCGCTCAGCCTCAGCTGTCGCCTGGCCCCGCTGGCTTTGGCGTTGCGCCCGGGTAATTGGGAGCCCGAGAAGGAAGGAGGCCATGCCTCCCTCCCTCCCTCCACCCCACGATCTCCCCTCCTGCCCCCCTCTCCCCCGTGCCTGCACGCAAATTGTCCGGAGCGGTTTAATGGGAGCGCGGGTCGCAAATTGAGCGCTTTTGCTGTTTTGCTATTCCTGGTGGTGCGATGCGCGGATGAACGCGGATTACGGGAAGCCGGCGAGCTGTTCGGTTGAGCGACTGCGCTTTAGATCTGGCCGTCCGAGTTGGGATTCCAGGCCTCGGCTGACGTTCGTTGGCGAGTGAAATCTGACCCAGGCCCTGGGTTACGCGGTGAAGTATGGTCCAACCACTCGCGCGACCCGACGTTGTTTTGGAGAGGCCTTCGTCCAGCAGTGGATTGGCGGAGAGCAGCAGAACGGTGCCTGGCAATGTTCGTGGCCGATTTTGAAGGGACGATCGCTCCGTACCAGCCAGTCGGGCAGACTCTCGCGTTCCGTCTCCCAGCTGGTCGGCGGAGGTCGGCGGAGGCCGCGCGTGTCGGTGTCGTGACATTAGCTGACGGGACTCGCGTTGACACGCTCCGTAGATCCCAGTGGACATGGGACGTTGGACCAACGTTGGCTTAACGTTGGTACAACTATTCCAAGCACATGCCAGCGTTGGCACGTTTACCCTGTCCCCCTCCATCCACAAAAGGCAGCCCCCAATGAGACCCCGGGTGTCACCTACGGTCTGCGAGCTGCTGTCTGTAAGAGGGTGCGGGCTCTGCTGCAAGAGATGTTAACTCCCTCGCCTGGTATACAGGAGGCCGTGGGTTTGATCCCTAACCCTGATGCCTGCTGTATATTTGGAGTTTGCATGGTCTTTCTCTCCCTGTGGTCGCGTTGATTTTTCTCCGGGTTCTCCGTTGTTTCCCCCTCCACATTTAGAATCAACATCACGCGTTTAGAGTAGTTGGCTGCTATACATCTCCACACGACGATAAGCCACTTCGTTGAGCGATCATTTGTGGCCAGTTCGCTTCTGAAAAAGAGTTGCATGGCTCGGTGGGGCCTTCTTACCTGGTAAAAAAAATAGTCTAGTAGTTTATAGCAGCTGCTGCATTCAGGCGGCACGTGGGGGGGCCTCCCCCAACATAACTACCCGCAGCGCCGTGGGCAGTCCACTTGCCTGACGTGAAGCCCTGCACCATGCTTCACCACGCTGGTCGGTGTGGGTCGGTGAAGGAGGGTCTGCGGCAAAGGGGTCCAGTTCCGACGTCACTGGCGGTAGCCACGGCTGGGAATTTAACCGTGGGGTCACCGGGTTCGTAGCGCAGCGTTCTGACGGGTTCCACGCACGTCGCGTGTGCGGCGTGCGTCCGGGACCGCATCAAATCGTGACCAGAAGAGGAAAAATTTGACGCGAAATCATCGCGCGTGTATCGGTGATGTGTGCGGACGCGGGCCGTGAATGGAAGGACTGAATGCGAGTTAGCCCAGGTGGAGGCAGGAGCTTCCGTCCCTTCCTAAAATGTTGGTCACGGGAGTGGTTTGACCATGCTTCACCGCGTTGGACAGAGCGGTCTGGTGAATGAAGGACGCGTACCTAGGGCCTGGGTTCAGGTTTCACTCGCCAACGAACATCAACCGTGGCCCGGAATCCAACTCGGATCGCCAGCTCCATAGCGCAGTGCGCTTCACCACACTCGCACACTGCACCGCTCGCCGCTCTCACCGCTCGCGAGATCCAGTTGCTGGAAGTGAAAGAGCTCCGTGTGTGAGACAGCCGGCAGGGCATAGCCGGCACGGGTCACACGTGTGTCCCAGGAGGGTAGTAGGATTCTCAGCTGAGTTCATTAACGGAGTATGTGTTAACATGATCTCAATGGGGTGTATATATGAGTCCATCAATGGAGTATGTGTGTTTAGTTTGTTGTCCTTCCCCCACACTATTTAGCACGGTTGGTTACGTACGCCGTGAAATACGTTCTACATACATCTGAGTATATACGAGTTCATAAATGTGAAGAGGATCTCAATAGAGTGTATAGGGGTGCTTCAATGGAGTATGTGTGTTGGGTGCGGTGTTGGCCCTATTTTCGAATGTCGAACGTGGCGACTGTGCCATGTCTCATCTGTGACTCGTCTCTCTCGAGCTGCCGCACGCGGCCCCGGCTTTTGGGGGGGCGGGGGGGATCCACGCGGTTTGTAAGCGCGCCATGGCCAGGTGCTCGTTAGGTGGAGCGAGACCGCTCGCGCTCAGCTCGCTCGTGTGCGTGGAAGCAGACGCCGTGGGCAACCCCTTGCGATTAGGATGCTCCGTTCTCACGGGATGGATTTTCCAGGGTGAAATGTTTTAATGAATTTAAAATATATACAAATACAGAGATGCCCATTTTTATTTATCGTCCGCCGCGGACCGAGCGTAGCATTAATTGACGCGGACTGTGCCCCTTGAAATTGGCAGGGCAGAGTGCAGCTGTTGCAAAGTTGAACACATTTCTTGGGTGATGATGATGCTGCTGTGTTGGCCGTGGTGAAAAAGCACAAACAACAGTAAAATAAATCGACACGCTTCATATCAATAACACCATTGCCTTGAAATGAACAACCTCATGGGCGACGTTTCAGGCAATGAGCATTATTCTCGGCGCATGAACAGAGGGGCTAGAGGGACGGTGTGAGATAACAATGGTTGGAGTGCATCTTGCACCATAGGGCCTGATAAGAAGTACATTTTAAAAAAATTGTACCCCGATTTGGAATATCGGTTAGCTAATAGTAGCCACTGAGTAACAGACAAACCTGTCGGTAAACCATAAGTATCACAGCAAAAGAAATTAATTTGTGCGCAAGTTCAAATCGTCACTTGTTGCTGGCACGTTTGTGTTGTGGGTGTGCGTTTGACCCGCGCAATGCAGGCGGCCGCTGGTGACCGGAGCTCCGCGGAGGGCGGCATGGTGAACCCGGCCCGCGGCAAGGAGAGCGGGGGGCCTTGCGCCGCCGGCGGGGGAGCGGCCGGCGCGGGGGGAGGAGCCGGGGGGGGCGCGGGGGGAGGGGGAGCGGGAGGGGGGGCCCCGCCCTCGGGGGGCGGCACTGCGCCGGGCGGCAAGACGTGCGCGGGCTGCGGGGCGCGCATTGCGGACCGCTTCCTGCTCTACTCGATGGAGCGCTACTGGCACACGCGCTGCCTGCGCTGCTCCTGCTGCCAGGCGCAGCTGGGCGACATCGGCTCCTCGTGCTACACGCGCCAGGGCATGATCCTGTGCCGGAACGACTACATCAGGTGAGGGCGGCGCACGCACGATCCCGGGTCTGTCGCCTGGTCGCGTGCCACGCTCGTGCACGATCGCAGGCTCCTGCGCGTGTTCGCGTGCCACGCTCGGACCACTGGGCGCTCCGCGGTGGCGGACGCGGCTTCTGGGGGGGCAAGGGGGGGGGGGGTGCAGGATTTGCGGTGTCCTCGCTCGGAGCGCGGAGCGGCACTCACCTGGGCACGCCGTGGGAGCGCTGCGTGGCGAGCTGGGTCTGAGCACAGCTGGGAATGACCGACCTAACCTCTGGAGTTGAGCTTGCATCACGCCAGCTCGAGTTTTATCGGCCTCACAGGATTCTCAGTTGTGTACACGCGCCGTATTTCCGGAGCCTTCTCTCAGCCAGATATTGTTTATACATCTGTTGCAAATTTGCGTTGTTACTTGAAAAATAATATAGATATATTTTATTTATATAAGGCTGAGGGGGTCAGATTATTTTCGGTGACCCCCACTCGGTGTAGAATGTTGGAGCTTGGTGACCCCATGTGCCTGGGCCAGGCTTGTGAATGTCACGCGATAGATCTGGCTATGATGCGCCTGCACTGCAGAGCAGCAGTCAGCGTGCACCTCCCGCCACTCTCAAGTCTCCCCGCATCTCCCCATGCGTTTGTGCCGCCCGATCGCCTTCCAACCAGGCGATGCCCACCTGTTCTCGAGCCTGTGCCCGCACGTTGCCTCCGCGCAAGGCACCGGTGCGGCTTCCCATTGCCGAGATTGCTTCTCTTTTTCATTGGTCAATCTCCCGAGTGCTCCCCGTGTCTCCACCGGTTTGTAAAACCCGTGCACGCCGACCGGCACGGAGGCCGCAGGCGCACGAGCTGCGTCTTGCCGACGCGCGAATATTCCGAGAACGCCGTCCCCCAAATGCCGTCAGGAATGCCACTCCGCGTTTGCGCGCGCTCGTCATTCATGCCGGTGGGCGGGCCTTGCAGGTGGCAGCAACCTTTGCAATAATATTTAATATTTAAGGGACCAGGATTTTTTTTTTATTCCCCTGTGCGAGCGGCGTTGGCGCCAGCCCCTATGTCAAGTTGACATCCGTGTGGCCATGGTGGCGGCGTTGCTTAATGGACCGGCCTCTGTGCGGCGTTACGCGGATATTGTTGGCAGCCTCTCTCGCGCTCCGCGGATCATTAGCGCCAGGTTATGGACGCGCCTCGCCCCGGCCGCTAAGCCGGCCGTTGGGGCCCCGCGTATCAATTCTCACTCCCGTGGAGCTGCACGCAAAACAGAACCGCGTCCTTCCGACTTTAATCCTGCAGTCGGTGGGCGGCGGCGGCAGTGGCGGCCGCGGCGGCGGTCGGTATGCCCCCATGCCGACGCGTCGTTCGTCAGCGGCACACTGCCGCCTTGCGCGCGGCAGCTTTGCGAGACGAGCACCGGCCGCCGACGCTGCTGCTGCTGTGCCGACGGCCGGCCCACCCTCCCCCGTGGTGTTTGCCTTGAGTGCAGAGCCCCTTAGGGCCACTTCCCACCCAACTTGGCCCGAACCCCATGCGCGTTGGGCGCGCACTATTGCTAAGATTTAAATATTTATTTTTAGTTTACCAAGGTTAAAGCCTACTGAGCTGAATAACTGTTTTTCAGAAATGAACCTAGTTATCACAAATGATAGCTCAACGAAGCGGCTTATCTTTTGGAAATGTATAGCGTCCAATGATACTCTGAACGCGAGACGTTGATTCTAAGTGTGGAGGGGAAAAACGGGAGGACCCCGGAGAAAAATCCACGCAGTGCCCACTGGGAGAGACATCGCAAACTCCAATAATACAGCCATAGTCAGGGTCAGGATGGAACCTACGACCTCCTGAATACCCGGCGAGGTAGTCAACATCTCGCCACCATGGCAGGTCGGGTCCGAGTCGTGGGACCGCAACGGCCGTGCGACGGAATGTTTTGCATCTGCGCGGTTTCATCCAGCAATGCAAAGCGGCTGTCGTGCTGTGACACATCTCCCCCGAGGCGGGTGTCCGAGGGAGGTTGTTCCCGTACGGTCCTCTTCTGTTATGGTGATGGGGTGTCTAATGTACTGAAGAGGTTTAGAGTTCAGCTGCGTCTTGAGTTATACATAGTTGCTGGCGTTGAACGTTGGGGGGTGGGCGACGATTGCTACGCATCTCCCAATTAAGTAATTGGTGAGCTTCCTTTCAAAGTTTGACAAGTTGCAGAAATAATTTGACTTCTGACTGTGTAGGGTTGGTTCGGACTCGGTAGGGTGGCGGATAGAGGGGTCAGATCACAGCCGCAGGTCGTGATGCGTCCGACTTTGAAGGGACGTTGTTGCGTTTGAGTCGCGCCGGTCGCTTTGTCTTGCGCTGCCAAATGGGAGGACGGTGGTCGTGCGGCATTTACCAAATTGTCAGGATCCCCCGTGATCACCGAACCTATGATTTGTTAAGACTGCCACCATGGTGGTAACTTGAAGGGGGTGGAATAATTCACCTTCCCGACCCCGACATTGACTGGGCGAGTCTTTGCGCCAATTCCACGATGGAATTAAATTCCGGTGACCGGTCTGCCATAATTGAATCTAGTGGATGGGCCACCATTCGCTGCGGCGTGGTGAATGGTGGCAGCCCCCTCGAGTGGCCGTAGGGCAGATGCAGCGCAGCGTGGCTGCGTCGTCGTCCACACGGCGCGCGCGCGTTGCTACTCCTCCGTCGCAACAGCGGCGCGACGTCCCCCGTGCTCGGCGCCCGTGTGCGAGAATGCGCCCGCCACTGGCCTCGTGCGCTCCGCGTGGCTGCCGCGCGCCATTTGGGGCACGGCGACAGCGGCGCGTGCAGACGAAAGCGAAACTGCATGCCAATGGCAAGGCGGAGCCCCATTGGAGATTTTGGAAGGTAAATAATTAAACACAGTGTAACCAAAGGAGGGGGGGGGTGAGAGCAAGCCTCGTGGAAACGGATGCCGCCGCTGCCATCTCAGGGTGGCTATGCGGGAGCCTGGGACTCGTGCCCAACCAGCCAGCAGCAGCCCCCGGATCGCAGGGGTCCTGCGAGGAGAGGCCTTCCTTGAGGAGAGGCCTTCCTTGAGGAGAGGCCTTCCTTGAGGAGAGGCCTTCCTTGAGGAGAGGCCTTCCTTGAGGAGAGGCCTTCCTTGAGGAGAGGCCTTCCTTGAGGAGAGGCCTTCCTTGAGGAGAGGCCTTCCTTGAGGAGAGGCCTTCCTTGAGGAGAGGCCTTCCTTGAGGAGAGGCCTTCCTTGAGGAGAGGCCTTCCTTGAGGAGAGGCCTTCCTTGAGGAGAGGCCTTCCTTGAGGAGAGGCCTTCCTTGAGGAGAGGCCTTCCTTGAGGAGAGGCCTTCCTTGAGGAGAGGCCTTCCTTGAGGAGAGGCCTTCCTTGAGGAGAGGCCTTCCTTGAGGAGAGGCCTTCCTTGAGGAGAGGCCTTCCTTGAGGAGAGGCCTTCCTTGAGGAGAGGCCTTCCTTGAGGAGAGGCCTTCCTTGAGGAGAGGCCTTCCTTGAGGAGAGGCCTGCGTCAGAATGTGACCTGCGACGACGTCGACAGGTTGCGGGAAGCGTGCTTGTGCACGCTTGCGTGCGTACCGAGAATGTGGGGATGGCACTGGAAGGTGCATTAAGATGGACCGGGAGCGCGACTTGCCGTACTGTCTCCTGGCTTCTACCAGCCCAGTGGATTTGGCAGTCTCGCAGCACCGACCTCACCTGTAATGTGCTCATGATTGACAGGTGTGAGCACCTGGTCTCATGCACACACACACGCCTCGAAAGTGAGTCTCCAGCCACCCCACCAGGAAGGGCTATTGTGCGAGGTTGTTGTTTTATTATCAAGTGGCGTGGGACCATCGTAAGTGAGACTAGATCAGGCCATGAATGAAGCGGTTAACCACCACGTCTCGGCGACGGTGACGATACAATCGGTGCATTCCCAGCTCACGCACCAGTTGGCGGAATCAACTTGTAAATACCTCCGGTGTGCACTGCACCCCCCCCCCCCCCCACTCAGACCTCCCCCTTGTACCCACCGTGGGGGGTGGGGGACACGGGAGGAGTGTGGTGGGGAGCTGACAGGGCCCCCCTTGGCAGTGAACAATCGGCCTGGTGGCCGGCTTTGTGGCCGGCTCTTGCGTCCCACTCCCTCCCCACCGTGACCAAGGCACGCCTCGCTCTCCTCTTGCCCCACCGCCTGCTTCGCTTGCACCGGCCCCGTCCTGGTTGATGTTGTAATGTACGTGTGTTGAGCATACGTTTGTGTGTATTTATATAATTAATGTGCAGGGCCGCACTCTTTCAATAAAATTCGCGCACGGACGTTGCTCTACCTCCTGCAGAGTTCCTGCAGTTTGACCGCTGCCAGTTTCTCAGAAACGCGTTTTACGAGCCCCCCCCCCCTTCCGCAGAGGCCAATGCCAACACCGCCGGTTACCTGCTCTCGACAAGTCTGCTCAGCTCCAGGTCGTCCCGTACAAAATCATCCCGTCTGTTCTCCGGCCCGTGCTGTGCCCATTTGGCCCCTTGTGTTTGGCCGGAAAAAAAAGAACTGAATTGGGCACGCGACAGCGCTGGGCACGCGGGGCTACACGATGCAGCCAACACATCCTCCTCCCCTGTTGGAGGAAACCCAAATGACTTCACTTTGTCCGGATCTTTCAATTGCCCGCGATCCCTTTGCAAAATCTGACCACGTCCAGAATCGGTTCGTAAGCAAGCGAGCCTGAAGACGGTCACATGCGCAGATACGTATACGAGGAAATGTACAGAGAGAGGGAGACAAAGATCACCCAGATAGCCTTTTAACAAACTGTTGGGGCAAGTGCTGTTTTCAAGCACCTAGGAAGGATGGCACGGTCGCTTGATTACTGATATTTACACACCGCACCAAGTACTCGTTTAAGTCTGCGTCTACCTAGGGGGAGGCCCTGGACCAGTTCAAATATTATCCGTTATTGGTCAAAAGCGGGACTCAAACTTGGGTCGCCGGGTTCATGGCTCAGTGAGGTGCTATCCACTATA